ATGAGATGTGGTTAAAATGCTTCCAGGCAGCCATCTTGGAAAAAAACTAGATATTATTCTATGTTACAAATTGCAAATATCTTGTCTTTTTTTTTTTTTTTTTTCTTGTCAAGCTCATACAAGACAAGGCTGCGCCAAAGCCAAGTTTTTTTTTTTTTTTTTTTTAATAATGCAATTAGCCACTTTTTTTTTTTTTTTTTTTTTCCTTTTTTTTTTTTTTTTTTGTCGCCAGGCTGGAGTGCAGTGGCGCAATGTCAGCAATGAGCTTTTTTTTTTTTTTTTTTGTTTATTATTTACATAGACAACAAGGGAAAGATTAGGCAAAGGTGCCAGCTCCTCATGGCTCTTGTCCCACATCCCAAAACAAAAGAGGCCAGACAACTGCATTTTTTTTTTTTTTTTTTTCCACTGCTGAGGAGTCCACTCTAGAGGCAGATAAGTGGTTTTTTTTTTTTTTTTTTTTTTCTGAGGTATGGGACAGAGCCTCTGGCCTCATCAGAACTCAGGAGGGCATGAGGAACTGTCTTTCAGGGGAGACAGAGAAGTTACCGGGCCATGGTTCTCACAAGCCTCCATCCTTTTATGTTCTAGGAGGGTCGCAGGCATTCTGCCATGCTTCAAATTACTTTTTTTTTTTTTTTTTTCCAGTGTGACCTATGTGGCATATGCAAGGTTGTCAAGGCAGTTTTTTTTTTTTTTTTTTTTATGTTGCTTTAGTCCACAATATATTTTGTCAGAAAAAGAAATTTTTTTTTTTTTTTTTTAAACTGTCTATACCCACATTCAGTCTTGACACTGAGAACTGATTTTTTTTTTTTTTTTTTTACATTAACATAACTTTACTATTCGGGTGTCTGTGTGAATATTACTTTACTGGGAGTTTTCTTGTCCAGGAAAATGGTTTGCTTGTTCATTACAGGAACTTCTTTTTTTTTTTTTTTTTTCTTTAATGGAAAGCATTAAGAGGTAGTTGGCAACCTAAGATTTTTTTTTTTTTTTTTTTTCAAAATCCTCATCTTATTGTTTCTACCAATCCAGTACTATTCTTTTTTTTTTTTTTTTTTATCATAGCCCAGCCCTTGCTCTGAAAGACCTACCTTCAATCAAACTGCTCAGTAAGTCCTAATCTTGCCTTAAAACACTCCCAAAGTTTTGTCAAGGTGGCTATTTACATTTAAATTAATAAATGATAAATAGAAATTCAGTCCCTCACTCTCACTTGTCTCAGGTCAGATGCTCAATTATCACGCATGGCTAGTGGCTACCCATGTTGGACAGGGAGAGAGTTTTTTTTTTTTTTTTTTGAAATGCTGCTTTATAGACTTTTGCCTCAACATAAATAGTCATTTTTTTTTTTTTTTTTTCCTTGTTATAAATTTAGCTTCTTATTAATACAGATTAAACATTTTATAGCACAATGTGCTTTTACATTTAAGTAGCTTGGATCATAGTTTCCATTTAATTAATTTTTTTTTTTTTTTTTTAGGGAAAAAAATCGCATTAATTTTTTTTTATTTCAAAAGAAAGAGTTTTTATTCTTTCTCCTTCCTCAGTCTGTTTGTCCTTTCCTCTCTGAGTTTCTTTCTGAAGTGTTTTTAAAAAATACTGAGATGGGCTTCTTTTCCAGAAATTCTGATTCTATTGGTTTTTTTTTTTTTTTTTTTACATCAGCATTTTTTTAAACTAACCAAACAAGGTAAAAACCATTTTTTTTTTTTTTTTTTACATGTGGCTCCTGCTGAGAGCTGTTAGGTGAGCAATGTCTTCCAGCTGTGGGTTTCTAGCATGCCTACTGAATTGTCAAGGAAGGTAAAGCCAGAGAGGGTTTTTTTTTTTTTTTTTTTCACAGTCAGTTAGTCAGGCTGACACTAGATCCAGGGTCCCTCTTTTTTTTTTTTTTTTTTCTACTCATCAGGCCCCTGGGGTTGGATGAGCTCCATTGGAATTTTTTTTTTTTTTTTTTTCCCTCTCCTTAATACTCAGGTTGCAAGAAAACAAGGAAGGTGTTTTTTTTTTTTTTTTTTCCGGGCTGAGAGCCTCCCCTGTTCTCCATCACCACCTCCTTCTTTTTTTTTTTTTTTTTTCCCAGACTAATGTGACTCAAGTCTGCTCCTGCCCCACCCTCCTTTTTTTTTTTTTTTTTTATCCTCTTAGCACATGGACTGGGGAACAAAGGGCTTGGTGTCTTTTTTTTTTTTTTTTTTGCTGGGAAATCATAGTTGATGACATTTGCCACATTTAATGTTTTTTTTTTTTTTTTTTTTAGACATCAGCAGTTAACTTGGGTGGAGGCTGGGTCATGGTTCTTGGGCTGGTATACAGTGGGCTCAGGACCTTAGTGCTAGTAGAAGAACTGTGGGAATCTGTTTTTTTTTTTTTTTTTTATTAACATTGGAGAAAGGGGTACCTAAGAGACCTGTGAAAAGTTTTTTTTTTTTTTTTTTTGGATGGATAAGTGCGTGATTTAATGGATAAACTATTTGGAAGTGGGTGGATGGATGAATGGGTAGGTGGATAAATAGATGGATGAGTGGAGGGATGGATAGTTTTTTTTTTTTTTTTTTAGATGAAAAGATGGATGAGTGGGTGAATGGGTAGGTGTTAGGGTAAATGGAGCTCAGGAAGGAAATGGACATGGCCAAGAAGCAGGGTTTTCTTTTGCTATATTTTTTTTTTTTTTTTTTATCAGCCTAGGTTAGAGTCAGGAAGAAGAAAAGGAGGAAAGGTTTTTTTTTTTTTTTTTTGGCAGAAAGAGGAAGAAAAAATAAATATTCAGGCTATTCACTTTTTTTTTTTTTTTTTTTCTGCTAGTCTTCATCAATCCATATGCCCCCAACTTCTTCAGGTTTTTTTTTTTTTTTTTTTTACCTTATATTATTCATTCTACCTTGTATTCACCTATGACTTTTTTTTTTTTTTTTTTTAGTTATCTTTTATTAATGTATTCCATATGTACTTTGTTTTCCTTAGGCTTAGAATTCCCCTGGTGCTAGGAATTTAAACTTTCTCCCTCCTTTCTCTTTCATTTTTTTTTTTTTTTTTTTATTTCTCTAATGCCACCTACCACCTTGCATCATAACCCTTCCTTTTTTTTTTTTTTTTTTGCCCAACTGTGGGCTCCTCCAGCTCAGGATGGGATCTCAAGGCTTTTGAGTCCCCATCCAGGGCCTAGCTTAGCCCTCTGCCCTCCAGGGAATGGGCATTGATTTTTTTTTTTTTTTTTTAAGACTGAGAAGCTTATTGGGGTCCTCTAGATGCCCATTTGATTTTTTTTTTTTTTTTTTTCAGCAGTAGAGAAAAAGCACCACTGTTTCTGACCATCACAGTTTTTTTTTTTTTTTTTTGGCAACTCTAATTTCAGGAGGAATGCCCAGGGGCCTTAGGATTTTTTTTTTTTTTTTTTTTCTCATTTTGAAGCTTAATGACTCTCAACGGATAAGGGCAGGTTTTTTTTTTTTTTTTTTGTCCCCTGAGCCCCTGGCTACTACACCTCCCAGCCTCACACCCTAAGTGTCATGTCAGCCTCATTGTTTAGATGTCTCCTGTGTCACATTTCTCCCCTGCAATTTTTTTTTTTTTTTTTTTTTCTTGACTACAGCCCTTTGAGAGGATGCTGGGAGTTAGGGTTTTTTTTTTTTTTTTTTGGAATGTAACATTAAGCCCTTTGTGCTCGAGCATGGGGAAGCTTTTTTTTTTTTTTTTTTAAATTGAGGAGTCCTATTAGTAGCAGCAAAAATGTTAAGAGCTTTTTTTTTTTTTTTTTTGGAAGAACCAAAAGCCAGCAGGTCTGCGTTCTGGGGCTGGCTTTTTTTTTTTTTTTTTTTGTGACCTTAGGCCAGGGGCTTTTCTTCTCCATGACCCCAGTTTTTTTTTTTTTTTTTTTTGAAGGAGAAGATTTCTAGGATCCTCTCCAGCTTTAACACCTTGTGATTCAGGAAGTCTGAGACCCACAAATAAGAAGGGACAGAACTCACCTTGAGATACCATTTTTTTTTTTTTTTTTTCAATGGAGATCTCAGGGGATTTAGAGATTCCACACCCATAGATTTTTTTTTTTTTTTTTTTGAGCTCAGTCATGGTGATGGTGAAGACGCCATAGAGGTGATTTTTTTTTTTTTTTTTTTGAGGCTCCCAGGTCGCTGTCCTGGGACTGTCCCCTACTATGGCACACGTATTGGCTGATATTTTCCTGCACCAGCTTTCCACCTGTAAATGTTGGGAGGACTTTTTTTTTTTTTTTTTTTAGGTTGCCTCGCCCTCCAGGCTGGGATGCAACTCTGTCCACTTTTTTTTTTTTTTTTTTTCTGCCCGTGTTCATACCCTTCCTAGTCCATCCTTGACAAGTGGCCACTACATACTTAAAAATAAGCTGTGACACACCTCTCTTAACTCTCCAATAACTTCCTTTTTTTTTTTTTTTTTTTCAAACTTTATCTCATAGGCTTCAGGGCTGCTTGACTTCCCAGTTTTTTTTTTTTTTTTTTTTTTTTTTTTGCACTCACTATGGAGCTACTAAATAAGCCTTTTTTTCTTTGCTTTTTTTTTTTTTTTTTTGAGACAGAGTCTCACTCTGCTGCCCAGGCTGGAGTGCAATGGC